TTTGACACACTAGGCTTTTTTTTTTTTTTTTTCTGTCAATAACTACACATAATGTAGGTGAACCGAAACTCCATTTGCTGAAGTCCGGTAAATGTCAGTGGTGCGCTTCGAACAGTTGCCGACTGTAGAAACAATTCAAGAAGAAGAATTCAAGAATCCTGCCCGCGAAACAAAAGGCTGAGGGAAAATGTGATTCTCTGTGAACTCCGCCCCCTTTGGAACAGAAATCGGTTCGCCTACCTTGTGCCGACACAGCGAGGGCAAAATCGTTCGGCAACAATAATACAAGATCAGCGGCTGTGATTTGGTGTGAGGGGACTCTCTCGACGACACTCAGAATGGATCCGGTTATGGTTCACTTCAGGTCAGGTGATGTCCAGAACACTGCGCATGACAAAATGAGCGAATTAATGAGATGCTTTTTCTCCAAGCCCTTACTGTTCATTACTTTTGACACATAAGGCTGTTTTTTTTTTTTTGTTTTTTTTCTGTCAACAACTAGACATAATGTAGGTGAACCGAAACTCCATTTGCTGAAGTCCGGTAAATGTCAGTGGTGCGCTTCGAACAGTTGCCGACTGTAGAAACAATTCAAGAAGAAGGATTCAAGAATCCTGCCCGCGAAACAAAAGGCTGAGTGAAAATGGAAATGTGATTCTCTGTGGTGGAACTCCACTCCCTTTGGAACGGAAATCGGTCCGCCTACGTTGTGCCGGCACAGCGAGGGCAAAATAGTTTGTTTGCAATCGTCTAAGACGGGCCATTTTCTCCATTTCCAAAACAAAACGGTCTTCCTCCTTACACTAGAATGTCGCAATGTGCGCCATCGTTCCATACGACGCCGCCACCAGTCCGTCCGCAAGCTCGCGATGTGATGTGGGCCCACCCACAGCACAAAACCGAATTAGGCAGTGACATATCGGTCGACGCCGACTCTGGCCCGCGATCCCTGGGCGAACAAGCTAGCGGGCTAGCTGCCTCACTGTCTCATAGACTGCCGTCATAATCGCCTATTAAGTCACACCCTCACTATTTTTCTTCACTATTTATTTTTTTGTCACTGCTGCACGTTTTCCGTCTCGGCCACGGCGTGCACAGGATCGGATGATTAAATCCATCGTCAGCCGACACAATCGCCGGCAAGGCGCTAGTTGCGCGTCGACGTCACTCCCGATCTGCAGCCGTGTATAAAAGTGCAGAGGATGTGGCGGAGGCGATACCGCAACTGTGAAATGGATATCGAGGTGAAGTGTGGGTATCGCACAGAAGGTGTTCAGTCTGTCATATTCAGTGCGAGATTGAGAAGCAGAAAGCTGAGACTACACCATTTTTCAACCATGCGAAATCCACCTTCAGATTTCGGCATGCTCGTGCATCTTCCGGCTACAAAATCTAACGCGCACAAATGCTGTCGTCTTCTCCGATGCCGTCGGAAGAACTGCTGTTTTGTAATGAGTGATTGAAACGGAAAACAATTCAAACGACGGATTCAAAGCCGACAATAGAACGACTTTTCCCCCGCAAAATGGCAAAACGTGTGCCGTCATGCAAATCCGATGGAAGCGGTTGAGGTGTTGGACCGCTCAGCATCCTTCTACAGCGTCAGGATGTCGAGGCAGAACCTCACGATTGTTTTGACTTTCAATATACTGTCGTCGAGGAAGTCGACGCTTCGATAGAATGCTTCGGTGCCATCGACGATCCCTCGGGCGTCTTTTTTAATTTCCTGTCTGAAGGAGGTTGTCTTTGGCCGAAACTCTCGTCGTCCGTGGCCCATTCTCCGAAAGTGACTTCCCTTTTGCCGGCTTCCGTTAGAGGCCATGTGAACGTTGTGCGACTGCCCTTCTTCACTCTCTTTTTCTTTTTTCCCATTGCATTCCGATCGTGGGTAGGCAGCCTCGCCTTCTTCCTCTTATTTGCCAATCTCTTCTCTAATTGGGAGGCGGAAGTTGATTCCGGCTGAAGATGTTGAAGCCGCTCGATATAGCTTCAAGGATTACGTGGGGTCACATGGGCAAATTGACCAATAATATTTGCATTTGCCACCAGAAAAAATGTTCGGCTCCAGCGATTTTGCTGAAAAAGCAATTAGGATTCGGTATTAGTATTCAAATTAAAGAGGAATTAAACAGGCTCAGAGATGAACCCTTTCGGGCACGCCGCTCGTCTTTGTGTGTGAGATGGGGCTATCATCAATCCTTCTCGCTATAATGAAAGGTACTCGGGCCAAAATGTGAAGCGCCTGATAACATTTGAAAGAAATAGGACTTTTTTTTTTTCCCCTACACACACTTTTGACATTATTTCAACCGTCAACTTTTCCTTTGCGGATGTATGACAAACTCTGGCTGGGAACTTAATGAGCTTTGAAATGGAATTCTTGGCCACAATGACGCTGTGGCGGGCATGGCTGTGCCATCTCCTGGCGACGCCTGTACCTGCTCACTTTTCTTTGACCAGTCGTGACAAACGCATGATGTCAAATCTGTTTTGAAAACACGTTCAGATTTACTCTCCGATAGAAAGCCAATTCGCTTATGAAAGCTCCCACAGAACAAACACTGGGATCGCAAATGATGAGAACTGAACAAGAAAAAAAAAAAAAGAGTTGTTGATTTATTTCGGTCTCCCCAATGATTGCGACCCGCATCGTTGTTTGACTCGCCGGTTATGTTCAAGTCAAAGAACATCCGTCCGAGCGGCCCTCGCATCTGCCCTGCCTCGGAGGAAACGGTTTGGAGGCGCGCGGTGGACGCGAACAGGTGAACGTGTGGCGAGCTCACTGAACATCACAACGTTCTCTGTTTTGGAAGAAGTCTTGCAAAACAAATGTGTGGGATGAAAGATGTCGACGTTTGCTCGGCTGAGCGCGCGATTAAGTGCGATTTGAGAGACATGCTTCTCTTGAACAACTGAGATCGATTTCCAGTGGTGCGATTTCGGCGGGGTGGTTGACTTTCTCATCATAACCTTCGGTAGATTTCGCTTCGGCAAAGACGCTGCGGCCGCAGGTTCTCCCGGCGCTCGGTCATCGGCACGTGACTGAGCCGTTCCTTTCGGGCCATGACAATCTATTGTATTGATCATGGATCAAGGTGGGACTGAGTCAAAGAGATGAGAGTGTAAAGTTGCGTCCGCCGTGATGTGAAGCCAATTCCCAATGTCCCGCCCACGGAACATGTTCTCCTTTTCAGTGCATTTTTTTTTTGGGGGGGGTTACGATGAGCATGCGATCTGTTCCCTTGCTTACATCGTCGTCTCTCTCACTCAAGCATCTTTCCTTTTGGATCCCGTTCCTCCCCCTCCGGCAAGCCACTTCTCTTATCTCAGCGGTAGCAACGGCCTGCCGCCTGATGCCAAGTGACAATTTCCCAGAAATCTCTCCGCGTTTCAGCACAACGGTGTTTCTAATGGGCCGGTCGAAGCGGAGGGCCCAGCTGACAAACATTTTATCCGTCGACAACTTGCCGCTCGAAAGGCTGCGGACACAAAAGGGCCTGTTGCAGAAACAGGTGGGACACGCACGCTGATGCAGGTCGCCCCCCGCCCCCCCCCCCCCCCCCTTGCAAAGTTGCATCACGGCAATTTCCAAGGTAAATACCTTTGCTCCCCACCGATATTTTTTTTGCCCAGATTCATCCATGACGGCGTTGAGCACATTTCAGCGGCGCTCAGTTCTCATTTTTCTTTGCTCCTCAGGGAACTTTTTTTTCCTTGATGCTCTCGCTGCTTATTTCAGGCGTTGAAGACTTGACTTCATCTTTCCTGCCCGCAGGCTCATCCGTGATGCAAGTGACAGCCAGCGACTCGGATGACTCCACCACGGCTAACGGCATGGTTCGCTACCGCATTCTCTCGCAGACGCCCCACAGCCCCATCCCCAACATGTTCACCATCAACAGCGAGACTGGAGACATCGTTACCGTTGCAGCCGGCCTGGACAGAGAGGTGGGGACGCGTGTGTGAGTGTGTGTGTGTGTTTGTGGCGGGGTACCCTGAACAAGCTCGGAACTTCGTTCGAAGTCCTTCTCTCCAAAATCAATTTTTTCTAATGAAGTTGACTTGATCAAGGCGTTCGTTGCAGGCAAAATCTGCAAATGGAACATGAATGAGAGGAAATCGGGACTTTGAAACGTGAGCGTGATTGGGGTGGAAACGTTGTGAGTGGGGTACGTTGAAAAATGGTTCGACTGTATTCGTATCAAAGCAGAATAAAAGACAAAATCATTTGACATCGTGTATTTTCGTAACCGCCCGCCACGGTTATCCTTCAAGCCGCGCGGCAAAACCACCTGTCGCACTTCCAGCTCGCTCTCCTAATGAGGGAGGTCACTCGGGGTTCATCCGTGTTGGCGCGATGCAGGTCGTTGAGGGTGGCGGCGCGGCGCGGCAATTTTTCTTGCTGGCGAGAAGCGACAAAGAAAATGGCGGCTCGCAAATCCGCGGAAACATTTACATTTGCTACGCCGTCCTAATGGCCGTCATTTCATCTCGTAACTTCCTCGGTTGATTTTTACAGCGGGCGTAAAAGCACTATTGATTGTGTCTCATCGTGTTTATATTCTGAAACGTCCCGCTAGCCCCTCTGAGCAGTAAACCCAGTGAGCCAAAACTTTCCAAACAAAAGCCGGATTGAACGCGATCGGAGAAGCGTGATTCGGGAAGTTACGGGTAAAGAACAAAAGCTGAGCGGCGCTGATCCTAATGCTTTTCCAACCTTGTCCACAGTTGGCATACGATATGACACTGGCCTCGAGTTGAGTGAAGACGGGCCCGCTTTGGGCTCCCGCTCTCCTTTCGGCCCACGCAGAATCAACGGCAGCTGACGGCAGGCGCAGGAAGCTCATTCGCGTCAACGCGTGTGGCCGAACCGGGTCCGACCCACCCCCACCTGCCGCTAAGCTCATTCGTGCAAGCGCACTCGGTCACGCAGGTTCCTTTTGGCACCCGGCAATGAACGTCATCGGAATCCAAATGTATGCAGCGAAAAGGCGGCGACATCGCCTGGCTTTTGTGCCAACACTGATAATTGGATCCACACCTTGACGTCGTCCCCATTTGCTTGCTCTCACAATGCAGCCGATCCGCATTTGCCGCGGACGTGTTTCATTCGAATACTTACAGTTTGTCTACTCTTGAGGAGAAAGGGGCTCCGTGGGCTTTAGCCTCATTAGCGCTTCGCCTGTCATGACTGAACGCCAATTCTTGTTATGAGCTTTCTCCGGCAAGAGCCTCTCTCCTCAGAAGGCGCGCGCTCCCTTCCGCAAGCACCGTTCGGCGAGCCGACGAGAACGTCGACGCTTGCTTCGTCTTCATTGTGCCGGCGTGAGAGATGACTTGCTGAATTTCAATGAAGGCGAATGGAGTCGAGGGGGCTGGCGTCGATCTCATTCTTTCGGCCTGAATTCTCCTCCTTTGGCTTATGTTGAAAAAATGAATCTGTAAATAAGGCTCAGATGTCAGGGTCACACAAACTGCTACACCTTTCAGTTGTGCTAAAAAAAAAAAAAAAAAAAAAAGTGATTTGTGCAACAGCGCTACGAGTTTTCTCAAGTCAGATTTCAGTGGCCTCAAACAAACCAACGCGCTTTGCGTGTGCGGAAAAAGCTGTGGGATTTGGGGAGAAAGCAGTGCCGGAGTCTAATTGAACTGCTCAGCATTTCTGTATCACTCATTAGAGAGCCTCTTACCAGCTTGTTTGGCCACTTTTGGGCTACAAAGTGCACTTGGCCGTGTGCGTGCGCGCACATGTGTGGAAGCGTGCCTTTCCCGCCTGTTCCCTCACACTGGCCCATTAGTCGATGTGCACGTGCGCACTCCGAGGGCCATTAACGGCGCAACTAGCCTCTGATGAGGCAGGTGCGAGGGCCCCTCCTTCTCATCCCCGATTATACGGGAGCGCCGCCTGCCGGCAGTCGCCACACAAATGATTCCTCGAGCACCGTCTTGGCTTTCCGGCGCCAAATCCTCGAATCGATATTTGTGACTGGATGTTAATGAGGCTGCCAAGAGAGTCCTTTCGTCTAAAGGCTTTTACGAAGACGATACGCGATTGATATTTCATCGCAGCTCCGCTCGAGGTCAGCTTTGCGCCGATCATGAATACGATTGTTTGTGCACTTTGCGACAACTCGGAGAAAAGCCAAATGACTTGAGTTGGGGTTTTACAAATGTCTGGAGAAGATGGTCAGATCTTTCGTGAGGAAAACACTGTCGCCTAAGAGGATGTGCGGGGCCGCGCTCAGTGAGAGGTGAGGACGTGAGGATTCTCAGAATATGTCGACGAAAATGAAAATGCCTCACCGTGGCGTCCCAAACCGCCATCTCAGATACCGATCTTTGCCCCCCCCCCCCCAAAAATAACAACAATAATTATTCTTCTCTCAGACATTCCCCGACATTAGCAGACTTTACAGAGAAGCTTTCAAAACAACCATCACTGGGATGAAGAAGGCCAACATGATCAACGGGATCCGCCGTGCGCGTCGAAAAAAGCAGTTAGCTCTTCTGACACTGACTACGTCCTTGGCGTCGGTTCTCTCCCACTCTGACTCAGTGGAGGACTGTGTGGACGTCCAAATAGGCCACTTAGTAGCTCTGACTAATATAATGATCGCTTTGGGCCAGGGAAATACACAACCACTTCGGTGGCTGTAATCCACCACATTATACACCGACCGACCATGATCCGAACCAAAATAGTGGCGCATCCGTTCCACCCACAGCAACTAAATGATGGAAGAAAACAGGAAATGAGTCTCCACTTAAGCCTTTGCGCTCCTGCGGGACGACGTTTGTCAAGAGAGTGGGTCTGCGGGGCCAGAATATGGTGGCGCCCCCAACAGTCGGACGTCGGAAGCAAATACTGTACACGTCCAAAGTGTAGTCCAAACTACAGTATTCGAAAATGCATCGACGACTCGTCGGGGAACCACTGTTGATGCCGCCAGCGTTGACTTGGCAGAGTCAAACTCGTCTGTGTTCATCCCTGCGCATGTCGGTTGACCTTTCCTTGTTTCTCTCTACTTCTCTCTCCAGAAAGTCTCCCAGTACACAATTATCGTCCAGGCCACTGACATGGAGGGCAACTTAAACTTCGGCTTGTCCAACACAGCCACGGCGCTGATCTCCATTACCGACATCAACGACAATCCGCCAGAGCTGACGGTCAGGACGGTGAGTCCGCAACCAAGGAACTTGACGACTTGAGCGAATGTGCACGCCGTCCGTGGTTTTGCCTCGGTGTGAAATGTAACAACGGTTGGCGGGCCGGGAATCAGACTTTTTGTCTCGACATTTTGTCAACAACGACCAGCCTGCTATAGCACTGGAATCGTATTCTTTTATGGGTGAAGGCTGAGATGAGCGGCAGCGTACACAAATGGCGCATGCGGTAAATCCAGACATTTTGCAAACGCACACACAGTCAAGGAAGCAATTTCTAGATTGCTTGTGTGGTTTCTCTATTCATGTCATCAGCTTTCTGTTCAGGTAAATATATGGGGAGGTTTTTGGGGCGGGGGCAACGGCCCACTGTCTGACCGAGTAGAAGCGGCTCTACGCTTAACAGCAGCCCGATCCCATCTCCACCTTCAGAACCCAAAAAAGAACAAACTATAGTTTGGTGAGCATTTTCAAACAGTTACTTGAGGATCATTCATTCACGTGATGTCTTCATTGATTGATGATCACTACTTTTTGCCCCTAAAATGGATTGATCTCTATTCACGACAGTGTTTTGAAGATAAATGCTGTTCTTCTTTTCATCCAAAATGGTTCCTTTGTATCTTTGAACCTAGAGAAATGTTCTCCAGTCCAGCCTCTCTTGTCACTCTGCCCACCTTCAGCTTTTTTTAACTAACCTTGCGGCCCAGGTCAAATATCAATTTGGGAGGGTGGGGGTTTCCGTTGTTTGCGCTCTAAAAGCTTGGCGTGAGGGCAAAATGGAGGCCGGTGGAGGATGCTGCCTTTTTGAAGTTCGGTGCCCGCGCGACTCATCGGCCGGGTCGCGGTGCAGCGGGCGGCGGCAGACGAGGAGGCAGAAAAGATACAGTAGGCAGCTCGCATGCTACTTCAGTCCCGCGAAGAGGAGGCCGTGAGTCAACAGCCGCTGGCAGATGCGCTCTCTAAACATGTTTACCTCTTCACCAGCGCAAACGTGGCTTCTCATTTGAAAACGGGAATCCTTCGTGTGTGTGTGTGTTGTGTGTGCGTGCGTGTCGCCAAGTTGCCACGAGGGACTTGTTTCAGATCGCACTTGAATGAGATTCATCCGTGAAAGAATCTGTCTACCGTCGCTTTAGCTCCCCCCCAATTGTTGCTGAACTTGAAATTGGGATGCAGATTTGACAAAAAGCTCGGAGGTCGGCATGAGTGCCTCGCAGTCCAAATGACCCAAAACCTGCGTGTTCTGTTCATGGAAGATGAAGATTGTAAAAGCGGGAACGCTTCACGTGCCCTGTGATTGGCCGGCCTCGTGCCCAAAGTCATCCGGCCCACCGAGGGCAAGCGCGGTCCAAAGTGGCCAAAGTCGGCAGGTGCCAACTGTCCCAAGATGAGAATGCCGCAAAAATGTCATTCATGTCTGCCCTTTGCCGTTTTTTCCTCCTCTTTGCCCCCTTTTCACCCCGCCGTGCAGTTTTCCGGGGAGGTGCCGGAGAACAAGGAGAACGTGGTGGTGGCCAACCTGACAGCGGTGGACCGGGATCAGCCTCACAGTCCCAACTGGAACGCCGTGTACCGCATCGTCAGCGGCGACCCCTCTGGACATTTCGCCATCCGCACCAACCCTGTCACCAACGAGGGCATGCTGACTGTCATCAAGGTGAGGGTGTCAGTTCTGGTGACAAGAGATGCATGTGCTAAATCGTTGTGGTTTTTTTTCACAAATGCGCGCAGCTTGGCGCAGTTTTAAAAGAAAAATGGCCATTTTGCGCTGTTGTGGGTGTGAACACAGCTGAATCGACTTAGCGTCATGTGAAGCGGTTCCTGCCATTCCTTGCTTACTTAGCCCTGTTCTTGAGCCGAATGACCAGATTTTCATCAATAAGGCGAGTCTGGTGTCATCAGGCAGCGGTTTTCCTCGCGTCATGTGAAGCGGTTCCTGCCATTCCTTGCTTATTTAGCCCTGTTCTTGAGCCGAATGACCAGATCTTCATCAATAAGGCGAGTCTGGCAGCGGTTTTCCTCCCTTCACTCCTTGACTTGCTCTCCAGCCAGTGGACTTTGAGATGAACCGGGCCTTCATGCTGACCGTGGTGGTGTCCAACCAAGCTCACTTGGCCAGCGGCATCCAGTCCTCCCTTCAGTCCACAGCCGGCGTCACCATCTCGGTTCAGGACGTGAACGAGCCGCCCGTCTTTCCCGTCAACCCCAAAACGATCCGCTTTGAGGAGGGTGTTCCGGCGGGGACCACGCTGACCGTCTTTTCTGCTCAGGACCCGGATCACTTTGTCCATCAGATTGTCAGGTACTGACTTGTCGCGTGAAGGGATTCGTGAATCTGCGTCATTATTGTTCGTCCGCGTAAGAATGCAAAGTACGTTAAGGCAACACAGTCGAATCGCCGCATTCATCAAGCTCCTGCGATTGGCTGGCGACCGGTTCCCGGTGCGAAGAGGTCACGGTATAAGGAATGCGACATTTGTCGCTCTCGCCTCCCCCCTCGGGTCCCCGTCGTCTCCGAATTGATTGTGCTTTCCATCCGTCCGTCCGTCCTCGTGCGGCTGACACCGCGGACATCGTGCCAGTCGGGCCTCCGAGGTCCCGCGGCGTCGTTCCACTCTGGAGCGAGTGCCGCTGAGAGATTTTTCTGAATGTCAGTCAGATGACCTCTTCCGCCATCAAACCCGGGTAGACAATACGCCGAGCGCATACGTGGCCGTTTCTTCATGGCCAATGAACACGAGTCGGAACATCTTTGAGTTTGAGCGGCGCGGTGACATTTTTTTGCTTCACGCGAGCTTTTGCGGTCGGTCTTTTCTGGTCTTTATGATTTCCGTTATCGATCCGAGCTCAGAGGTGCCGTCTTCGGCGAAACCGCTCGCCAGCAGATGCTCACCTCATGCTTTCCACCGCCGCTCTTGCTTTGGGTGACCTCGCGTCAACCCCCCCTCCACACGCTGAAAAGACTCCAAAATGCTCAAAAGTCGTCCCGCAAACACTCGCCACGGTGTGTCGAGGTGGTGAATGGGAGAGGAGCCAGATTGGCTTTCTGAATTTTTTTTTTTTTTTTTTTTTTTTTTTCTGTTGAAAGAAATTCATTTTCCAGAAGGGCTTTTGAGCCCACGAGCATCTGCTTTTTCTCGTTAATACGGTTCGGGTCACTCACTGGAACATATCATGCACATTTGATGTCATTTTTAAAATGGTGCGCTGTAGCAATTTCGCTACAGTTGCTGTGACTTTCCACTTGTCTCACAACAAGCCACTCGCACGATATGTTTGGCACAGTTTTTCCACCGGCCGCCCGTCCTGGCAACACCCACCCATCCATTTATTTGAATTTTATTTTAATAATTCAAGCTTGGGTTCGGCAGTGGCTGGGCTCAGGGCGCTGGCCATTAAGGGAAACCGCACCTGCATGGAAGATAACAGCCTGCTCCTTTTTTTTCCTATCACCGATGAGGTCTCATAATGTTGTGCAAGTGTACCTAATGAAACGACTTGTGGATCTGGAAATGGGTTGAGTGGTGGTGTCAACTTTTTTGGCCGCTACTTTCCGCCAAGTTTCGTACGAAGAAGTTCGATAGCTCTGACGTATTCGCTGGTGTTGTGATCGACTCAAATGGTGCCAAAGAAGAGAAAATCTGCTCTCACGCGGTGCTAATTGGAGTCGTTTGCCGTCTGCAATCCGAGTTGTGCCTTTCAGCTCCGTTGACTTTGTCACATCGGCGATGACAAAAGTTGCAGGTTTTCCTCGTGGGTGTGAAAAGCGGTGAAGTCGAAAGAGCCGTTCAACCGCTTTGCATGATGCGTTCGCAGTTTTTTTGAATGCTAATTAACTGCCACGGTATGTTTGGCAAACATATGTTCGTGTCTCCACGTCGCTGCACTTTTCAAAATGTAATCACATGATGGGTATTTCACAACAATTGATGCAACGCGCGTGGCTGCACGTAATATTCGGACTTCTATTTTCGTGCCCGGCGCAAGTCTCGCACAAGCTCTAGCGGGCGAGGCCGCGTTCCGGTGGAAGCCGGCGCAGCTCTCGGAAAGAAAAGCGGCCATTTTGCGCCGTTGTGGGCCGACGTGACTCGCCGCCGATCCGAGTGGCTGCGCACGTTCCCGCGCACGATGCCGCGCGCCACAGGCACTTTGATAGTCCTCGACTTGGCAAAAGAAGAAATGGACGCGCTCGTGCTCCGCGGGGGGGGTCGAGGCGCGCAAAGTGCCTTGATTGGCAAGCGGAAATATCGGATTGTAAAGCCGCTGTTGGAGTTAAGGATTGAATTTGTCTTTCTTCCGGACCCGTGTGTTCAAAGGTACTCGAAACTGTCAGATCCCGCCAACTGGCTGAGGATCAACAGGACCAACGGGCAGATCACGACCATGGCCCAACTTGACCGAGAGTCCACGTACGTCAAAAACAACATATATGAGGCCACTTTTCTGGCCTTCGACAATGGTAAGTCTGGTAAGTGAGGATGACGATGTTTGATGCGTAGAACCGAGCGCATGCCTTCACTTTGGCACAAAATGTCCTTTGATGGATCAGCCTCAAGGCCACCAAAGTCAACCGAGCCTTTGTACTTTGTGTTTCTTGCAATCTGCAAGGGGTCGTCTTATTTGGGCCAAAATTGGAATTGACACGTGTTTATTTTCAACAAATCCTTTCTTAGGATGAACTGGACTCGACTAAAATATGAGTCACTTGCCACTATTTTCCATGACTTATGATTCAATGTGTTGGTAGTAGACATGGGAAAAAAAATGGAATGCAGGTGCAATCGTGCAAACACTAGAATGTGCTCGTTTGATTCGATTCTGTCGTGCATGTCATCGCATGTCGTAGCTGCAAAGCGGAGGGCCCACTCCACGCGGACTTCTGTTTCCGCGTCGTCTTCCAGGAAGCTCGATTGTCAAATTCCGACTCGGGGCGTTCGACTTTGGAGGTTTTGGTTTTCACACCTCAAAACTCTGAGCCACATTGTGTCCCCCGAGCTACTCCATTGCGCCGCTCTTCTGGGAGCCGTCGTGCGCGTGCCCGCCTGCAGTGCTCGGCATCGCCGGACCGCCGCCGAACTCTTTTTTCCGCCGTGCCATCCGCAGGCGTTTGAAATCTCAGCTCGACGACAAAGTGTCCACCGAGCTCAGCGCCTCCCGCCTGACTTGATCAAGTTGCTCGGCTTGTCTTTGCTCCGCCCACCCCGCAGGTTCGCCTCAAGCCAGCGGGACGGGGACCCTCCAGATCTTCCTGATCGACGTGAACGACAACCCGCCAGTGCTGATCCCCCCGGAGGCCCAAGCGTGCCAGCGGGCCCGCCCCAACTCCAGGATAAATATCACCGCGTCGGACGCCGATTCGGACCCCAACGTGGGGCCCTTTGGTTTTGAGCTGCCTTCCTTTCCTCCCAGTTTGCGCCGCAATTGGACCATTACCAGACTCAGCGGTAATGTCGCACTCCGCGTCCTGTCGATAACACGCGCGACAGGTATTGCGGTCCTTGTACCTTAGCGAGTTGGCATGTCACATTGAGGAGGTGCTCGGCAACTATTACATAATGAGCCGAACGGATTCCTGAATGTAGGAAATGAAAGGTGCCGTCGTCACGCGGCCGAGGTTTGCTGTGCGCTCCCCAAGTGAAACTTGAGCAAAATCTGTCAGGGTGAGCGATCCGGGCGGCGTCCGCTGTTGACATGTGATCCCTCATTTGTGACAAAAAAGATCTGCTCACGTCTCCTTGTCCCCCGAGTAACGCATCTGTCAACCGATGCGCCCGGATGGATGGATGGATCACAGCAGTCCGCCTTGAGGACAACTCTGATCACAGACTTGAATTCTTCTCCCGCTGGGACTCGGGGCTCTATGTTGACTGAGTCCTCCAGGGTGCAAGTTGCATTGCTGTTGAGTCTTAAGGCGGGCGGTGTCCAAACGATGGCCCGGGGGCCATTTGCGTAGCGCCATCCATTTTATAGCGGCCCGCCACGTGACAAAAAATATATCAAAATACTAAAAATGACATTTGAAACGGGCCGATTAAACGAACCGCACAATGTATCTTCAAAAGACTGCGGTGAATAAAGAGCATTGAATTTTACAGGCAAAAATCGTTTCTTCACATTGGTGATCCTCGAGTAAGTGAAAAATGGTCACCTTACGAAAGTTTGTTCTGATCTACTGCAGAGCTGGATCTACTCTGTGAGTTCGAGGGCCGTTGGCCACCCCAAAACCTTGAAAAAAATACTCCACTATTTGGCTTAAGACTTTGAACAGAAAACTGATGATTTGTTGACTGACTTTAGCGTGTTAGAAAAAGTCAAAGAATTCGAAAGTGGCCCTTTCATCCTTCCATTTTCTTGTTTCCCAGTATTAAAGGTGTCTGTGCCCAAATATAACCTGAAGAAAAATGGTGTGTTGGGTTTGTTCCCATTTTTTGGTCTATTTCAGAAATGTCTCAAAAGCCAACTGATTTTTTCTAGTGGGTCGCCACTTGACAAAAAAGTGAAGCAAATTCAAAACACCGTTTTGGTTTTTTTTTTTGTTGTTTTTTTTTTTGTGGGTTTTTTTGTTCAGCGCATGATGAGGAAAAACCAAAAAGTCAGGTGTGCGCTTCCTGCTCTTATCGTATACGCAGCGTAGAGGGAATGAGCGTAACGCGCAGCGCGCACGTGACGATCTCTTCAGCTCGACGCGCTCACGTTCTCTCTCCAGGTGACCATGCTCAGCTGCGCCTAAGGATTCCCTACTTGGAGGCCGGCGTGTACGAGATTCCCATTACCGTGTCCGACTCGGGGAACCCTCAACTTTCCAACCGCTCCTTGATCCGAATCAAAGTGTGTCCCTGTGACGACAACGGCGACTGCAGCGCCACAGGGGCCGTGGCGGCCGCCGGCCTCGGCACGGGGGCCATCATCGCCATCCTCATCTGTATCATTGTCCTCCTCAGTAAGTGCACGGAGCAATGAACCGCCAGCGCTGTTTTCGCCGCCGCAACCTTTTTGATTCGAAAGTGTCATGCGGAAAATTCTGCACACGACACCGCATTCTAATGACCTGTTCAAAGATTTTGGGCAATAGATGTTGCAAAACGGTGTGCGTGCGTGTCTGCGCCTGTGGCCCACTGATGTTTTGCCGCCTGGTCCTCGTAGGCATGGTCCTCTTGTTTGTGGTGTGGATGAAGCGCAGAGAGAAGGAGAAGCAGGCCAAGCCGCTGCTGATCGACCCCGAAGACGACGTCAGGGACAATATCCTCAAATATGACGAGGAAGGCGGAGGAGAGGAGGATCAGGTATGTCGTGAGCGTCTTCCCCGGCAACCCACATCAGACACGGGCGGCTTTGACAGGATGAACACAAAACTCCCATTATGTTCCCAAATACAAGCGGGGGGAATAACTCCCCGGTGGTGTGCGACGGAACGGGACTTGGCAAATTGAGGTCAGCGAGACTGCGCGTTTACTTTGCGTGGAGCAGAAAATGCTTCTCCCCTCGCAATATAAATGTGCTTCCTGAGCTAAAATGCACGCTGCCGGTCAAGAGTTTTGCTTTTTTTTTTTTTCTTGCCCCTTACAAATGCTTTCCGTGCCGGTTCAACAAAAATTCCCCAGACCCACCCCCTAGTCATGTAGTTGGTGCTCCCAGCGGAGGGGAAACTCTGACTTGGAACTGGGATGTGAATCTGCGGGGGTAGTTGCAAGCTGCTCCACTACTTTTGCCGATAGTCGAGCGTTGCGGCTCTTGGTCAACCAATCTCAACCACTGACTGTGATATGGAATGATATTTATCCTGGCAGAAACCAAAAGTGAGCCTTCATGAAGAGCGAGCGGCCGAGCGCTTCAGAATAATGAACATTTAAATAGAAAGCAGTGGAGGCGGCGACAGTGGGCGACCGGTGAGCGTGTCCGCCTCACAGTGCGGAGGTGCGGGGTTCGATTCCGGCTCCGGCCTTCTTGTGTGGAGTTTGCATGTCCTCCCCGTGCCCGCGTGGGTTTTCTCCGGGTGCTCAGGAGGGCCGGAGACGGAATCAAACCCTGCACTGTGAGGCGGACGCTCGAACCAGTCGACCACCGTGCCCCGCAAATTGCATTCCACAAACGCGATATGAATCAGAATGCCATTTTTAGACTTTGGTGCGACGCCCCTCCATTCATGTCAACACGGCAGCTGAGGGTTTTTTGTTTTTGTTTTTTTTCATTCAAAAATTGGTCATCACTTCTCTTCATGAGGGTCCCCTTGCGGCCCAGGGACAGACTTTGTGAGTCTTTGTGTGTGTTTCATCCAAGTATTGCGCATTTCCCTCCACGTCATCACTTCTCTTCATGAGGGTCCCCTTGCGGCCCGGGGACAGATTTTGTGAAGCGGTTTCATCCAAGTATTGCGCATTTCCCTCCACACTCTTTCTCCAGGACTATGACCTGAGCCAGCTGCAGCAGCCCGAGTCTTTGGACCACATCATCAATAAACCGGTGGGAGTTCGCAGAGTGGATGAGAGGCCCGTCGTCCCCGAGTCGCAGTTTCCCATCAGACCCAGTCTGCCCCACCCTGGCGACATCGGAGATTTCATTCATGATGTACGACTGACAGCAGATTCTTTTTCCGGTTTCAAACCATAAATGCATGACCACACACACCGCTGCAATGTGTGTCCCACGAGGCATTCGAGAAGCCCATTAGTGGAAAGATCTGACAAGAAATGTGAGACATTGATCAAAAGAGATTTTCCATCCCATTCTTGGGCTGCGTCGAGATCAGCGCAAAAGATAAGGAAATGTTCCAAATACAAATCGAGAACTGCAGTGTGCAGTAAACATGCGCCTGGACGACATGTCACCTCAAACTATTTTGTCGCTTTAATTTAATTTGCGTTCCCTAAATCTCGGTGTGTTGTGTTTCCAGGGTCTGCGGGCAGCAGACAACGACCCCACAGCGCCCCCCTATGACTCCCTGCTGGTGTTTGACTACGAGGGCAACGGTTCGACCGCCGGCTCGGTCAGTTCGCTCAACTCGGCCAGCTCGGGCGACCAGGACTACGACTACCTCAACGACTGGGGCCCTCGCTTCAAGAAGCTGGCCGACCTCTACGGGGGAGGAGACGATGACTGAGAGGCGAGGAGGGGGTGGGGGCGGGCGGGGCCGGCTCGCGGGAGGGCGGTAAGGTTCCTCCAGATGGACGGACACCCCTTGGAAAAGAGCCCGGGACCTGAACCGGGCTCGCTGGACCCTTACATGGGCTGTCGATGCTCACTGGAGCTCTGGAAACTGGAATTCCACTGCAACTGTATTCTGGCTTTATACTTTTCAATGGCAAATTTGTTGGGTATTGTCCTTTTTTTTGGGAGGGGGGGGGGTTGTTGTCAGTCTCTCACCGTGCTGGACCCCCGAACTCTCTGGGGACAAATCAAGGCGGTCGTGAGGCGCACACTTACTGAACTTGAACTTTGATTGATTGTTGAAAAGAGGACCATGTCTTGCTTTGGTCTCACACTGAAGAGAATGTTTCCGGGGAGACGCCCCGTGACTCTCTCAACTTGAATTTCCTTAGAACAGAAGCACTGTCATTTTATAAAGTGCCTTTTGTGCTGTGTTTAGTTTTTTTTTTCGGATCAGACTCCTGCTATCTCAGGATCGGTTGCCATTCATGCAGTACAGGGAAAGTCTTTTGAGTCATCCCTCTTCGGCCCCCAAACCAATCTTGCCTGTCTGTTACCAACACCCCCCCCAACCCCCCGCCCCTCAGAAAGGCCCAACCGCAGCACACTTGTCACGCTTGTGTGGCCCTAAATGAGTGAGGAGCCACTTCTCCTCCGAGGACCTGTTCAGTTGCTCTGTCACAAAGCTCGCCCGTAGACCCGAACACAGGGACTCAAACCGCTACGGTGTGTGTCATTTTTCTTCTCCTTTTGGGATTTGTAAAGAATGCCTGCCTTTCTCTCCGTGGACTCATAAATTGAGGGAGCTTTGATGTTGAGATGCTTGCCTTGCCCTGTAACGGTTGTCGTGTTGCTTTCTCCACAGCGTAAAGCTTCTGTTGGCATGATGGGAAGAAAGCGGGGACCTCGCAAGACTCCAACTCTCTCTCTCTGACAAGTCCCAAAACATCACTGACACCTTTAACATTCCCGTTTTTTACAGTCCAACGACAGTATTGAAAGCTGCATGAGTTTTGTTTTGTTTTGTTTTTTTCAAATCACTTGTTCGTGTGTGGTGAGAATGTGAACATAGTCAACAGAAACTGTCTAAATATACTCTGTATACAGAAAATAAAAAGACCCTAAGTCACATGCATCCTTTTGAAGCGTCGATGGCATTTGCTGCCATTTTTTTCTTTGCTTGGGGGGAAGGGAGGGGGGGTGTTTGGGGGGGGTCGAGAACTGTATTTGTGTCCATTCCTGTGATTTCAATTAGTTCATCTGAAGTGCCCTAGAACCCAGTGGGGATTTAAAGGGATTTAAATCCTCTCTGGCAGCGTGTCTATCAATTAGCCACGCCATTAATCCCCACGGCGTAATCTCATTAGAGAGAGCGCCTTTAATGAGACATCCAGAGAGCCAGCATGGCGGCGAGCAAGGGAGAAAAATGAGGTGGTGGCAATCTGCAGGTAGACCATGCGGAGAAGTGATTAGTCGGATCGAAGAGGGTCAGCGGCGGGAGGCACCGAGGCGGAGAGATTTCGGAGCGGGGCCAATGGACATCAATGGAAACTTGCTCGAGAATTGCTTGGAAAATAAATCTGGCCATGGTCACCGTGCGCAGACGCAAGAGAAGCGAACCGAAGTGATGGCGCCCACCTGCATGTCGACGCCATCTTTCTTGCCGGCGGGGCATTTGCAGTGGCTGTCGCGTTTTACATTGACCATCGTGGATCGAGTTTCTGTTTCCCTGACGCTGTGGGAGGGAAACTCTTGCGTCACTGATTGCCTGCATGTGCCCCGTGATTGGCGGGTGAACGGTCCAAAGTCACGCCCGCCTTTTGCCTGCAGTCGGTCCTGCGAAGCGCCGACCCCCAAAAACCCCAACAGGGTCAATTGTCTTGAACGCACGCCGTATTCATCTACTCTGGCTGAATGCATTTGGACCGGATCAGTGGCTGCCTTTTATCTGGAAATGACACAAGAAAGTGGCAAAAACAGAAGACCGTGTACATATCCAATTACTATCAGGGACGTCATCCAGGATTCAGCGGCGGCCGTGGCTAAGGACGGAGAGCAAAGGGCCGGCCGGCTGTTCAAATTCTTCTGATTGGCTCGAAGAAATGCCATATCGCTCAAGTTGATTTCGCCAGCATGACTGATACTCAAAGCTAGGGGGTGCAGGTGTCCGAGCAATCCAATCCAAGCACAGAAAGATGGAAAGTCTTTTACTTTTGAACTGACCTTGGAGCTCATGTCAAAAGTCATTTTTATCGATTTATTTCTTGAATTTTATTTGTTCACGTCATGGGTCGCTGATTCAGTTCCAGGTTTGGTCTGTAACATTCATCAGAAAATCGGAAAAATGTCGTATTGTTTTCCAAAGTAAAAGCTGAATTTTTGCAAATGGTCGTATCTAATGTGGTGACTGAGTATGTGCGAGAGGCGTGAGAATAAGCCCAGTGATTGTAAAATTGGTACCATAAGAGTGCGTGTGTGTGTGTGTGTGTGTGTGTGTGTGTGTGTGTGTGTGTGTGTGTGTGTGTGTGTGTGTGTGTGTGTGTGTGTGTCAAGTCAACATGGCTTCATGTTGATGCACTGATCCACTGCCTGAAAAAGTTAATTCTGTTGGTCGAAAAGTCATTTAGACATTGATCGGCTTTAATGGGAGCGTATTTGAAGACGTTGGCCGAGGCCCGCTTGGTTTCCCCGGGCCGAGACGAGCCCAGAAGAAAGTAACGCCGAGTTGAATTACAATCACAAGTATGTAGGCTGAGATTTGGCTGCTGGCAGGCAGCCCAGAGCCTCCCGTGTGAGCCTTGGAAATGGAAGTTCTGGCTACACATGTCCACGCGTTACTTGGTGCGTTGTTGAGTCTCTTGGGTTTTTGGGTCTTGGAAGAGGTCCAATGCGAACGACGCCACAAGCCGCCGCTTGCGATGCTGGATGCAGAAACGCCGCGCGGCCGAGGTACTCTTCTCTGACTCCGAAGGAGCTTGAAGCGAAGCGGAAGAATTGCGATGGCATCGTGGGAGACCACATCTTGCCTCAAACTCGCCCCAAAAACCAACGCGGGATTCATTTGACCGCATCGAGTCTGTAGGCGGCGTGAGCGGAAGTGGCAACATGACAATGTACAATGAATTGCGGCAATTTTCCCCGGCCAGTCAGAAAATATTCCCGTTTGGGAGGCTCCGGGTAGGTGTGCCCTCACGGAGCTTCGAGGAGGCCCCGCTCATCGCTGACACGCCCCGACCGCATCATCCTCACAATTACCATTGGCGCAAGTTGACAGCAAATTTCAATCAGATTGTTTCCTGTGTGCCGAAATGGATTTCTTTGAGCAAAACGGCTTTGTCAGATGGTTTCCTCTTTTGTTTGCGGCTTTGACCGATAAAAGGGCACTTTCAAAACAACCACTGCGGTTTGTTTTCCTGCCTTCCTTAAGAAAGCTCGCACTCAGTGACGCTGTGAACCATTTTCATCGAATGCAGTCACTTTTTGACGGATCCTGTACCATAAGATTGAGTTTCTTGCGACACTCTAGTCCTGCAAATTTCCAAGCGTGCCGATCCAATCCCAAAATGTGGACTAATGGCAACCATGCGTGCCTCTTTTTACCAATTTCATTGCTGCACCACTGGCCTAGGTCTGCTTGGATAGGAAAAAGTAGCCGAGTGCTTGCTGGAAGCCTGCGCACGGACGTTTCCATCGTCTTTCACCTTCTGTTGAACGGTCTTCCTGGGGACAGCGGCTACGTCCCGAAAGGGGAACAGACGATTGGCAACTTCAACAGGTTGCACTCGGATGTCCTTCGGGGTACGATCAAGCTCCGTTTCCCCCTGTCAGCCTCACTCCAGGACGACAGAGCAGAGCCTCGGATGAATAATAGATGGGTAGCAAAGTCATTAGCGCCAATAAATAATTGAGCGCCGCACATGCCCGGGATTATGATTGCAAACAGTAGGATGATGTTACGGCAACACGACGGGGAAGAAGAACGCCACGCTTTGAGACGATCCGCTCGAGCGGAAAAGGATTGGCCACAGTTTGAAGCCGATGTCGCAACGGCATGCGCGCGGTCACTCCGTGCGCCCTTGCGAAGGCATCGGATATGAAATTCGTGCTCATTTCACATCCAAACATTTGGCATATTGTGCTCATGCGCATGTCTTTCAATATGTGAAGAATTAGTGTGGTAGCTCATGGAATGTGCTTCACGCCGGCGGCAATACGTTAGCCTCCGCTTTTTGTGAATTTTTGGGTCGTGGCCCCTGAGATTGTATTTGAATATAAAACGTGTGTCACTGCGCTGTCCGTGTTGGGAAACGCTGTCTCAACTCGCCCTGTTGCGGCAGTGCCTCGCAAATTGGAGCGTCATCGTTTTGTACATTTGTCCATGCCAGGTGGAGATGCATCCATGCGGCGTCGGAAACTTTCCTGACAGAATCGCACCCTACAAGCGTCGACTCGGGGAAAAAAAAAATCGATTTATTCACCCCAAAAAACTAAATCAATAAAAATGGGCGCAAAGTACAAATAATGACGCCGGACAACAAGCCGGGAATAATGCGAAGAAAAGTAAAAGCGCTTGCGCAAGGCAAGGAAAAAACACGAACGAGAATAGATTTGGAACAAAAGTACAAGAAAGACTAAACCGCATGAAGAACAAACCCCGGATACCCTTCAACACACCAAGAACGACTTGTTCGAATCACGCAGAACAGAAGCAGAGGCGAGAGCCTCCAAAACGGATATAAATCAAGGCAAGAGCCAAAAACGGAGCGAGAGTAATCAGAGAGCGTCTAGACGTAACGCACACGAACAATTACTTGGGCGAAATTTCCCGACAGCTTGGCGTGGGCCCATAATTGTGATGCCAGGCAGGTGCGCTGCAGGGGTGGGAAAGCGGGTACGCCTCCGCCACCCAGAATGCGATCGTGACCGCATCACATTTGGGCGCCATAAAGGCCGTGACTTTGTCAACGGTCTCGCTCCTCTTCTGCGGGTTGCT